AGAGAGAGAGAGAGAGAGAGAGAGAGAGAGAGAGAGAGAGAGAGAGAAAGGAAGGAAGGAAGGAAGGAAGGAAGAAAGAAAGAAAGAGAGAAAGAAAGAAAGAAGGAAAGAAAGAAAGAAAGAAAGAGAGAAAGAAAGAAAGAAAGAAAGAAAGAAAGAAAGAAAGAAAGAAAGAAAGAAAGAAAGAAAAGAAGTCCAAAATGAAGAGCTCACGTAATTGTGGAGAAAAGCTGTAGACATAATATACCTGAATTCTTGCAAGGTCTTTGACAAAGTCTTTCATGCTCTCCTTATGGATGAGATGGATAAATGTGGTTCTAGGTGTTAGTATAATTAGGTAGATTTGGAACTGCTTGAATGAGTAGTAATCATTAGTGGATTGGTGTCAATCTAGGTGGAGGCCTCTTGTAGAATGCCCTAGAATCTGTCCCTGCTTTATTCAACATTTTTTTTTTTATCATTGGATGAAGACACAGATGGCATGATTATATATATGGAGTCAATATATGTGGAGTCAATCAAGGGAGTTTCCTGACCAATTTGATGAGCTTACAGAGACAGAAGAAGCTGTCTATGCCTGTTGCCTTTCTTTCTTCTCCTCTATACTTTTCAACCCTTTAAATTTTTTATTTTGATTTTATCACTCAATTGGAACTGCTCTCTCCAAAGTTACCAGTGATCTCGTAATTGCCAGATAGGGTCTCCTCTTGGATATTCTTTCCTCCATGGGCTTGTCTGACACTCCTCTGTTTTCATTCTCCTATATATTGAACCACTCTTTCTCAGTCTGATTTGCATAGATCTCACCTCTTAAGTGTGAATGTTCCTCTAATGCTTTGTCCTAGGCCTCCTATCAAATATAAATGTCTCTGTTTAGCTTTTAAAGCCTTTAACAACTTTGCTCCTATCTGTCTTTCCAGCCTCATTAGATGTTACTTCTTCTCCCATACTCTGCAATCCAGTAAAACTGGCCTTCTGGTCGCTTTTCACACATGACACTCTGGTTCCCATGTCTATGCCTTTTCATTGACTATCCCAGTGTGGCTATCCGTATTTCCAGTCCTCTTAGACTTTATCTACCCTGACCCTCCCCCGTGCACTCAATGATCCAGCTACAGTGGCCTACTTGTAGTTCCTCAAATATGAAACTCCACCTCTGTCTTTGTGCCTGGAATGCTATCCACAAGGACAGGGACCCATGTGCACTTTCTTTGTACTTGGGGTACTCAGCACAGTGCCTGGTACATAGTAATTGCTTAGTAAGTGCTTCTTTACTGACTTTGCAAGCATGAGGCTCTGGCTTTGAAATTAAGAGGGTGGCCCTAAGCAAAATTAGGGAGGTTAAAGTTGATTCATTGAACCCTGCCCCAAACCCTTCTTTCAGTGCCCATCTGTCTTCCTCACTCCCTGAAGGCCATGACATTTATCTCTATCACCAGGCTCCTTTAAGTCAATTAATCCTTGTGAGAGTTTTTGAGAAATAAGGATCTAAGGTCTTCCTCTTTCTGGGAATATTTGTGTTTTAATAGAGGACCCCTAAAGACTGAAAAATCTTTGAATTGCAAAGGAATTAATTTTAAAAACTAGAATTTTTTTTTAAACTTCTAAGGGAAAGAGACTTTTATGGATAGAGAGGGCATAGGATTTGGGGAAAGGAAAAGGAAGCCTGCCCACTCTCTCTCAAATGCATGGTAATGCCACAGAAAGAGTACTAGATTAGGAGCAAGGAGATCTGAGTCTAATCTAGACTGAC